TGGATTGAATTGTTAAAGCTTTAGAAAACGTGTTATTTTATTTGGTGTTTTTGAATGTAAAATAATGACTAGGAGTTCTTAGGAATAGGAAAATAATCATGACAGCACAACATCAAAAATCAATTTGCAATTTTGTAATGATAATTGATTTTTTTTTCTCCCAGAAACAATTCAAATGTTCACCTACTTTGTGAATTGTGTTTATCAGACAATCGTTGAAGTCAAAAGCACCTTTATTCCCCCCTCGTCTTTTACTCGACAACAGATGTTCATACTAATTTTATCTCGAGATTTATATTGAATTGTCCATATCTGATTCTGAAGTTTACCTTAGGTCTAGGCTTGTCTAGATATGCTTGTATGATATCGCAATTACGCCACTCTCTTTCCTGCAAATTTCTTTATGTTGTGTCCATAAAGCGTGAGTAACTGTCTGTTAAGTGCTTGGAGATTTTAAGTGTATTCATTCTGCTCGTTTTTATACTGTAAATGGGTTAATGGCGCTGAAAACACAGTGTTATGGGTCACTTTTATGCAAATAAATATAATTTAATATAATGACTATCAGAGTATTATTTGTTTATTTAATGAGTTGGCATTGTGGCATTTTGTAAAAATAAAAATAAAAATGAACAAAAACTATATTCGCTATTCTGTAAGCATTAGTTTCTTGTACGTTTTTATTTTAATTTTAGGAGTGTCTTAATCATTTATGTTATAGTGTTAAACAGCACTCAGAAAAGAGAGTCGAAGAATAGGCGTTGTTACTGCTTTCGTTCTTTTATTTCTATAATTTTAAAAGTTCGTTCCATTTACCTATTATTATTATTATTATTATTATTATTATTATTATTATTGAAGTAGTGGGATTGTTCATTGTCGCAAACGAGTTTAAAATGATACGAATTATATTTAATCTAAATCTGAATAAAGGAAGAGTAGCTTTCCTGTTGTCAATGCACATGTAGGCCTATATGCATTTCTTTTCCGTATTGATAATTGATGGAAATGTTTTATGCTTTAGGCAGAGAACAATAGAATATATTCGAAAACAGTAGGAAACTATACATCTTATTTTATTTATTTATTTATTGTTTATTATTATTATTATTATTATTATTGTAATTTACACTCGCTTAATTTTTGGCGCATGTAGCCTACAATGTAGGCAAGAAAAAAATACTGACAAATGAAATGTATTAATACATTACAAAGCTTAGACCATTTTTTAAAATTAACTTATGGACTTTTTTAAAAAGAAAATTTTAAAAAGAAAAGAAAAAATAAAGGAAAAAGAAGACTGATCATCAAAGTCCGACGTGTTAGACGACAAAAGAGAAAAACAATTATGATCATGAATCGTAAAGCCTTTTAGGTGACCATGTAGGCTACACACCTTTGATTATTGGTCTTTTTACAGTATAAATAAGCGCAGATGAACCACATTAATGTTAAACACAAAACCGAAGGTGCATGTGGACAAATCAACTAAAGTTGACACGAAATAAAATAAAGTTTTATTTTATTTAATTTTTTTATTTAATTTTATTTTTAGTAGGCTACTCGTTAGTGGCTTATGTTAACCAGGTAATCAAAACATAGGCCTACTCGCCTATACTTGCAGGAAATAAGCTAGTGCTACGACATTACTTAGGCTACATATTATTCCAAAGAGCTCAAATGTAATCACCTCAGTTTTCAAACTTTCATTTATCTGTCTAATAATGTCATCATTCAGTTTCAGTCTTCTCTCTTACTACTACCATAAGGCTAAATAACACGAGGACGGTTTGTTTGTAGTGTCCTAATAGCATTCCATATAAGAGAAAGAGTGTGTCGTTTACTGTGAGAGGATTTCTGTTCCCTCTTCTCTCCTTTGATTTGATCGCTTAACTGAGCACAACTTTTTATTCGTGTTCATTCACGCGGCAGTTCCCCTTGACCTGGATTCATTGTGCTGCATTGAACTGCGCTATAAAATAATATAAACGCGACGCGCCTCTTTAGCACACCAGAAGTGCAATTTAGTGCAATTTCAATGCTACGTTTAAGTTTAAACTTAACATGTTAATAGTAAATGTAGTAAAAATGACTAAATGTGATTGTTGCAGAGTTAGGCTATACCTGTAGCCTAAGTCTACTTAACATTTTCTGCTTAATTCGATGAATAGCCAATATTAAATAAATCAAATAACAAATCAACCAACGTGGAAAAATGTTGCCAATTGGATTACAAATAATACATCTGTGTAAATATACGCGTTTCAATAGCGTTTTTAAACAACCTTTCAGCAGCCACTCAACAAGCTCTGCAACAAAAGTTTCTGTCGCCTGAGGATGCAACCATAGCAACAGTACGCCGATCGAGCGACTTCCGTTTCGATCAATATCGGACGGTAAGTCTACAAAACATAAGTAGTCCTTGTCATTATCGCTTATTATAGATTTACATACCACAACACATGTAATCACAAAAACTGAAGTGTTGTTTTAAAGATCTTAAAGGCCTATCAGTTGGCTAACTGTGCTGGGGCCCCATCAGATTTTTTGCGCGTGACTGAGGAACCTCAAGAAATTGAGGTTGAAAACAAAATAGGACTATAAAAACACATTTTATAATTCGCGCACTCACGTGAAAGTGAACGCCTGTAACGAGCCGTTTGACCTTAAATTTGCAACTGCATATGGGATCACGGCCTCTGCGCACATTAGGCTGCTGGTTGGCGAAAGTGCATTTTGATTCTTATAAAATATTTCTAAGTATCAATACTTTTGTGACAGCATTGCATTTACCTTTAAAAAAACCGCTTTAGGTTTATGTCATTCTACTCTTAATCGGTAGATAACAGTTCACCCCAAACATGCTTATACAGCTGCACACATGCGACAGTTATGACGCTTACACGGCTGACAAAGCTGTCACATTAAACAATTTGATTTAAGTGTGAGTTTGACCGTAATTGTTTGACTGAAATGTAAAGCTTTACGAAGTTCATATATCGACAAACGTGTCATGAACTTTTCTTACAGTAGGAAGCCTTTACGTCTTATTCATGTGCTTATGTCGCCACCATGCGGTGACTATTAGATAAAACAATCTGAGCTGTGAAATTTTTAAACCTACTTGTATGATAATGATTGTTATATATAAGGTTTATAATATATATATATAATGTGTAACAGTCTTTATAAATCAAAAACAGAAACTGAATAGTTTATCTCGTGCAATAATATTTACATTGTTATGTTGTAACAAATATCATCTTTGTTTAAAAGAAGCTGAATAATTACAATGAACTCCAGGTTGTAACTCTGGCACCACTTAAAACATAAAAGACTGCAATTAAACATGCATTTTCCATTTTATTGGGTTGAAATGAATGACGTTTTGAAGTCAAACAGCCTTGAAACAAAAAAGAAATGTATTGTAATGGAAGATGTGGGCCTTGTAAGAAAATTATGTCATGTTTTATTCTCATTTGGTTTTAAAATGTTTGATTAAAGAAATTGTTTTATTTAAAGTTATTAAAATGAAAATATAAATATTTTATCCTCGCTGATTTGTCTGCTTTTCATCTCTGCCTCCATAACGTTAGGCCTAGGCCTACTTTGATGATAATAATAGTCTTTTCCAGGAGAAAGATGAGAAATTCTTGCTTTCACAAGAAAACATTTGTGAAAGATATGTGTCAATAAACACATTTGAATCTGAATTCTCTTCTTCCTTTTCAGATTCAAATCTCCTCCAATAGGCCTGTAGCATGTCAGCCACATGTTGCATGTTAATAATGCCATAATTACACAGTGCATAGATCTGCAGTAATCCACATCTCATGGCATCCAATAAATGCACATTCTTTCACCACTTTCATAATTGTGATTGAACATTAATATTTCTGAAACCATGCCTTACCAAAATCATACTCATTTATTTTACTCATTTATTTTATTAAAATCATGAAGTGTGCGAACTTTTTTCATGTATTTCACCTTTTGGAAATATTTTTGGTCTACGCACCTCGTTTGGATGATTTTGAAGGCGCGGTGAGTTTCTGGCTGTTTTTTATTAAAGTAAAAAATAGTTACTTATTATTTTCACGCTGAAGAGACAGACTTTTGGACACAACTGGCGAAGATTTTACGTGATGATTTGAGGGAATCGTATTCATTCGTATAATAACACAGGAGAATATTTAAATGATCTCAGTAGTGATTTGCAGCTTTATAGGGGAAACCCAGTAGGTTCAGACCACTGCTTATAATTACATACCGTCACCAACAGGGGGCAGTATATGTTCATAAATTCGTTTTTTTTTTTTTTTAAAGGAACAAAATACAAGGTAAAAACGAAAGTTGCAAAATGTTATCTATAAAAAGTGAAATTCTGTTTTATGTTTCTATTAGTTTCATAGCTGTTTCCGTTTTTAAGTCAAATCAAAGTTGTGCTAAAATTACAACTTGCAATGGTAAGTTTTTCTACCGCGCTGAATGTTAGGCCTATTACCGATTAAACATTTATGAAGACCTAACAAAATTATAAAGAATTGATGAAAAGTGCTATGTTTTTGGCATACTGCACTTTACCAGATAATAGATTTATAAATTGAACATGGACATTCATACCTTATAATATGAAGAAGAAAGAAAATAAAAGGTATTATGTATCCAAACATGACAAAGCGCCATGCGTTATGAAAGAAAATCCAAATAATTAAAGGGCCTGGTAATTACAGTTTTACATGCTGCCATAATGTTTCTAATATAGGCTGCTCATAATAACATTTAATTTATTGCAGTAATGATTCAGCAGAAGAGATTCTCTCCGATCCGCTTTCGATGAAGCTATTAAAATTGACAGATACAGTGACCTGTAAATTAGACCATATGAACATATATATTGTTCAAGGAGACCACACATTTTGACTTGATTAAATATATATTTTATTATTTCCATTTATAGCTAGACATATCAAAAACTATCCCTTGATTACATTGTATTGTTACAGTATTTTTATGGAAACGGTTTTCATGTAGGCCCGTCATCTGGTAGTTTTTGGAATTTTTTTGTCTAATGTCCTACAAGCTTGACTAGGCTAATAAAATGTTTGGTAGCCAACAACGAAGCTAATAACTGGGGGGAAAGTCAAAGATGATGTGTTTTATTTCTTATGATCCAAGTTCCACCAGGCTGGCCGTCATTGGGTTGAGAAGGCCGTCGTGCATGGAGAAGTGGTGGTGGTGGCTCTGAGTGTCTCCGCTGACGGGGATGATGGAGGCGCTGGGGCCGGGCGGAGGCGCGAAGCTGTGCAGGGGTGGCAGACCTGAGCTGGAGGACATAAGGATGGCTGGGCTCATGGAGGTGTGATCCGGGGTCGCTGCGGGAGATTTGTCGTCCTCTGAACTTTCACATAGAGATTTGTTTTCGTTCACGTGTGAGGTCAGTGGGTTGTGGCCGTTTGGATTTGCACCATCGTTTTCCCTGTTGGAGCAGATCATTCACATTCATTAGCGGGCCAGCAAAAACAACAACCACCGCTTAAGTGATGGACATACAAACACCTGGACTGCGCATGACTAAATGTGGCAAATAAAATATGATACTTTTATTTTTCTTCATTAGGAGTACATTATAGGCCTTTTAAAAGTTTCAAGCAAAAGCTATATTTATATAAATCATTTTTATGTTTATGAACTTTACATTTAGAACAATCATATACATTAATCATATCTTAGGTAAAACCCTTCTTCAGCTCCGATCATTTTAAGTGAGTTGAGACTATAAGATTTTAATTTTTTTTCAAATTACACATTTACACAAATACCCAAGATTTTTATTGATTAAATAATAACATTAGACATGTATCAATATTTTAAAACTATGGATAATATTAATACTTTTGTGTTTAGTTTTACTTGTGTTTATTTATTTATCTGGATTATTTTTAGTTATTTTTGTGTGGTCAAAGAATGACTTTAGCGTCACTCATTAATTAAAAAGGCAGATGACAAAACCTCCTGCATCAATTGCCATGACACTGATGTCATCAAATGAAACACATTTATAAAATGTGTTATTTGCAGTTATATATTTTCTTAAAGCCCAATTGTTTTGAAATCTTTGACATTCAGATTGTTCTATAATAATTAAGACTATAATGATTTATTTGATGTCTTTATTCATGTCTTTATTCTACCCACAAGTACACCAATGAATGCAATTATCTTTATTTATTTATTTTTCCTTAATTAATTTTTTATTTTATTATTATTATTATTATCATTCTTTTAGATGGCTTCGGTCATTTTGGTGAGCATTCCTCCACAGAAAGATAGCTTGTTTAAAGTCTTGAGAGTAATGGTGTTCTTTCTACCTTTCCTTTGCTTCTGCTGCACGGTCCCTCTGCCTCCTGTTCTTGAACCAGTTGCTGACCTGCGTCGTGGTGAGGCCCGTGGCCTCGGCCAGTTCTCTTTTCTCTCTCGGGGAAGGGTACGGGTTGTGAGTGTACCACTCTTTAAGCACACACCGGCTCTTCTCCTTAAAACAGTAGCTGGTTTCCTCTCCATCCCAGATGGTGCGAGGCAGCGGGAACTTTCTGCGCACGCGGTATTTTCCCACAGCGCCCAGAGGACGACCGCGCAATTTCTCCGCTTCGATATAGTGAGCTTTCAGCCAGAGCTGTTGCAGTTTGGGGTGGTTGTGCGGAGAAAACTGGTGGCTCTCTAATACTTTGTAGAGCTCCCTGAAGTTGCCCCGGTGGAAAGCTACCACGGCTTTCGCTTTCAATACGCTCTCGTTTTTGTGGAGGTGCTCACAAGCAGGTAAGGACCACAAAAAGCGTCCGAGACGTTCGATACTCCCACCTTGCTGAAGGACCTCGCAGACGCAGGAAACCTGCTCTTGGGTGAATCCAAAAGTTGGTGGCATAGACATAGTTGTGGGCAATGGGATACCTGGTGTCCTGTTGGTTTTTACGTTGGTTTTTAAGGCGATATCCACTTTGGAAACTCAAGCAACGAAGCTCCCCCAACTGAAGAATTTCAGTTCTTGATGTACATTTTCCATGAAAAAAAAAAAGGTTTAAAATCAGTTCAACGCAAAAAACAGAAACAAAGCTAACAGTTTGAGCCGGTGTCTTGCATTGCTCAATCCCTTAGTTGTAATATCATGCATGACGCGCTAATCATTTCATTCTTACGCGCTCTCGCCGTGCGCAATAGATTCTTTCCTCGACTGTCCTTTGCTATCAGCCCGCCCTCTGGTTATCATATCTCTTACAGAGTGCCTAGTGTGTAAGGACGGCTAGCGCATCCTCATGGGGAGTCATACGGGCAAGTGTGGAGAGAAGCTGTGTAGCAGAAACTGACCCTGCCTCTTGGAGATAGTGGCACTTGGATGTCATGCACCTCGGGGGAAGGAGTGCGCGCAACACACTCCAAAAACAGACACTGCTGCATTATAATCTCAGAATAAAGGGGGAAATCAATAGCTACACAGTGAAATGTTTTTGTTATTATTAACAAAAACCTTCACTTGTTTGCATGGAAATGCATAGGCGACACGTGAAAACTGCTTTTACGTCATTTTCTAAACTAATACAAAGTCATCAACAATTTGTGCAAATATAAATCTAAAGTATATGTGAGAAACATAAAGTAAATGTGAAATATATGTATATTGCTTCAAATGAATCGTTTTATTAGTGATGGATGGCGGGTAGAGGTTTGCTGGATTGATGTTTGTGACGAGAAGTCTGTGGTGTCGTGTATCTGACGAGTTATTTTGGAATGTAACGTGACTCCAGCGTACTTTTTCATATGGACATTGTAATTCTAGCATTTGGTTCCAGAGGGACACAGATATTTAGTAAATTCGTTTTATGGTGAGCTAATATATGCAGTATATGCCAGCTCTCACTGAGTCATGAAAATATTTTGATGTTATTTTGCATATGAAAAACATAGAAGACCTTTTTAGACTGAATATGCTGCTCACTGGTGTTAATGTATTTTATTGCATTATAAAATATAGTAGTTATAAAACTATTACTGCAATATTAAATGGAATTAACATTCTTAAATATATATATATATATATATATATATATAGGTTCTTTATTGGTTCTTTTCAATTATTTAAGTTCAACAAAGAATTTTCCTCTCAATAAAAACAATTTTAAGCTGTATAGACTTCTTGACTTGTTTAAAAGGTTTTTGATGTTACATTATATATTCTTCAGATCAGTGTTAGAATAAAGAGTTCCTTGTAGAACTTCTGGTTCTTTAGCTGTAAAAAAACAAACAAATTGTAACCTTTATTTAAAGAGTAACCTTACATCAGTTATCATATATCTCACATATGCATTGTGTAATTGTCATATTCAACCATATTAGCTCAAATATTCTCAAGTTAACCTACTGATATATTCAAAACAGAAATATTATTAAGCATAATATTCGGAAACAGTGGTCACGAATTTCCCCCAAGAACCTTTAAATTTGCATGCCATCTTTCACGTTTGCATTGTGGGATATTGTGTTACGTATTTTACTTGTCTTTTTGTAAAAAAAAGTCCACACCCATCTCAATAGCCTACCGACACACATGCTCATTCTCACACACGTGCACACAGACGTAAAGGGTTGAGTTTTCAGTAAAAGGACCTGATTGATTATACATGGCTGGGATCATTTTCCCGTGAAGGGGAGGAGATGTCTGAGCTGAGCAACCATTAGCCAATCTGAGATCTCCTGAGGGCAGCCACAGCAGCAGAGATGGACGATGGTGGACGTTCAGTGAGTGGCTTCAGCTCTCAGCAGGACAAAAGGAGTCAGTTTGAGCCCATTTTGAAAGCCATTCTTTATTCAGGGGAGCTGCTCCACGCTAGCTTTGCTGTGTCATTCTAAACCATGTGTCAGAGACAGTGAGCCGAGCTTGGCTGCTGTCTGGGGCTCCAGCCTCTGACCTTGATGATGGAGAAGTGAGGAGAAGATGGAGAGAATGTTTGCCTGTTCTTAAAGGACTAGCTTATAATGAATTAATTATTGTGCAGTGATTGCTGGTTTCTCCTAAATGATAGTTCACCCAAAAATGAAACCTCTGCCATGGGTCTAACCATCACGTCGTTCCAAACCTGTATGACTTATTTCTTCTGCAGAACACAAAATAAGATATACTGAAGAATGTTTAGAATGAAAAAGTAGTTTTTGTCCATACAATGAAAGTAAATGGGGTCTGAAACAACATTGGACACCACTGACCTACACTGTATGGACACAATTAGGTTTTTCTTAATCTTCCTTTGTGTTCTGTAGAAGAAAGAAAGTCATATAGGCTTGGAACAATTCTGTCCTCATTTACTCACCCTCATGAAGATATTTTGAAGGATATTGGTAACCAAACTGTTTTTGGTTACCATTGACTTCCATTGTAAAAACAAGTAACAACTGAGACATTTCTCAAAACATCTTCTTTTATGTTCCACAGAAGTAAGAAAGTCATACATGTTTGGAACAATATGAAGGAGAGTAAATAATGACATTTTTGATTGATTGATTGATTGATTGATTGATTGATGGACTATAACTTTAAACGTTAACCCCTTCAGACCTGATTTTTTTCTGCTGAGCAAAAAAAAAATGTCCCCGTTGATTTTTACTCCCTTCCAGCATAGAAATAAAAGGGGAAAAAAACATTTTTGATAACTCATGTTTTTATTGGTATTTTTTCATGTCCATTACAATGGACGCCACGACTAAATGAACGTAAAATGCCATGAAATCTTAGATTAAAAAAAGGCCATGTTTTTAACATAGGAGGTTGGCGGATTGAATGGGTTGGATGATTGTGGGCAATGTAACCACAAGAAATCAGTTTTGCATTCAGTTATCATGGAACTTCCAAACGCATTGCTAACTTTTAACATTGTAAGCTAATAAGAAGGAAGTATCGATGATTGTGGTGAATGGCCTATGGAACCACTTAATCTCATGCTTCCTGGTTATTGTCATCTGCTCATGATCATAGGGATAGTTCAGCCAAAATTTAAAACTGTCATCGTTTACTCATCCTAATGAAGATATTTTGAAGGATATTGGTAACCAAACTGTTTCAACTGAGACATTTCTCAAAACGTCTTATTTTATGTTCCACAGAAGTAAGAAAGTCATACATGTTTGGAACAATATGAAGGAGAGTAAATAATGAAATTTTTGATTGATTGATTGATTGATTGATATAACTTTAAACTTTTTGACTATAACTTTAAACGTTAATCATATTACTTACAGGGATAGTTCAGCCAAAATGTAAAATTATGTCATCGTTTACTCATACTAATGAAGATATTTTGAAGGATGTTGGTAACCAAAACAGTTTGGTTGACTTCCAGTGTATAGACAAAAACAACTGAGAAATTTCTCGAAACATCTTCTTTTATGTTCAAAGTAATATGGAATCATAAAACCCAAAAATGAAAATTCTGTCATCATTTATCCTTTTGTGATTCCAAACCTGTATGACTTTTTTTCTTCTGCAGAATACAAAAGAAGATACTTTAAATGTTGATAACCAAACCATTTTGGTTACCATTGTCTTCCATAGTATGAACAAAAACTGAGACATTTCTTGGAAGTTCTTCTTTTATGTTCCACAGTAGTTTGTACAGGTTTGGAATGACATGAGGGTAAATAAATGATGACACCTTTTTAATTTTGGGATGAACTATCCGTTTATTTTAACTTTTCCATATGTTATCTGTTACAGTGATACATTCTTTATCTGATATATTCACCTTTTTCACCATCTTGCATTGTTTGTGTTAAATTTTCACACTTTTCTTCTTTGAATAAACTCCTGTGAGAGTTACAGCATGCTAAAAGCATTTTACACCCTGTGATCTGGCATCCTAGTAAATGCACATCACCACCTGCACCGACAGAGGAAGAACGGGCAATCCAAGCAGTTCTCTGCACACACCTGCACCTGTCTAATGTTTCATGGGCCATGAGTGAGAAAGAGGTCTGCTAATCTGCCCACGTGGCTGGGCAGCATTGGTTTTTCCTGGAGGCTTGTTGCTGACCATGCAGTGGCCTAAGCCTTTTTCTTTATTCAAATCAAGGCAGTTGTGTAGGGGGCCATGAGCAGAGACACCCAACACCCAGCAATCACACTGTCCTCCACTCACAGCGCACACTCTAAATGATTAATGAAGCTGGCTCACCTTCCCTCTCAGGAGGGACGTGAAACCCGATAGCGCCGAGAGAGGCTGCGCTTAGCCATGTGTGTGTGTTTGCATGAGCAAGAGCACTAGCAGAAGACATGTAGGACCATAAGTTTCATAAGTGTCGTCTGGTCGTTGACGCAGAGAGAATTCACAGTAGTGTACCGGTGGCAATTCTGTAGATGATGACTGGCTAGAAGTAATATTTGACTGCGTTTCACATGATGCTGATGTTCATACCGATGTTCCACCATGTGTATCATTTCAAGCTTTAACACAGTTAATCAGAGTATTGCGCCATTATCTAAGATGCTAAATCATGTCAGTGCTTGTTCTCTTTCTCTGTCTCTCACTCTCCTTCTCTTGTCCTCTTGTGTGTTGGCCCCCTGGGTGATCAAGTTTCAGCCCTCTGTCCTCCTGGCAGGCAGAGGGATTAAATGTTCATGCATAGGGAAGTGACACCACCAGTGTCTGGGCAGGAACATGCTTCTCAGACTGTAATCAAAGCACTATCTTTCATTCTCTCTCACACGTCTCGCTGTCTATCTCATTTACTCACTCTTACAGGGTTTTTTTTCCATTATTTTCATATTCTCGTTTTGGATAACTTTCTAAGCTTTTAAGCTAAGATTTTTAGCAATTTTATGCAATAAATATCATAAAAATTTGTTTCGGTGAATGATATAATCTCTGGTGTAAGTATATTTGATAA